ACCCCCCCCCCCAACCCCTCTCCCCGTCCTCTCCTAGCCCAACCTAACGTTTCTTCCTCGATAATTGACTCAAAATTGCGAGAACGAAATCCTATACAGCATTCACGTAAGAATATCCATTCCTCTCTCTTTTACTTTCCCATCTCGCGTATTAGAAAAGAACTCGTTACCGCCAATCGAAATTCCCCAGTGGTCTCTCCAAAGGTATCTCTCTCCTCCACTCCTCTTTTCCTTTTCGCCTTTCGACCTATCCTAAGCTGTTTTATTAATTCTGGACCCGTAATTGGTGTTACAAAAAAATCGAATCGTACTGCTCCATACGAAACAACGAATTACTTTCTCTCCCGTCAAAATTTCCAGCCACCGTACACATTTGCTTTTTTTTTCTTTATTTCATAATGCCGTATGTATCTAGCTGTACGAATCAGCTTTACGCTACATCTGCCAACGACAGCTGCACTCACGGTGGCTACAGAGCAGATGCATCAACCCGAGAAAACGACAGCTGCACGTCTCTCTCTCTCTCTCTCTTTCTTCTCTTTTTCCTTACTTCTCTCGTCTCTTTCTCTTTCCTATTCGTACATATATATATATATATATAAGCAGTGAAAATTTACATATAAAGCTGTCTCGTTTATCGAAGTAAAAGAATCCGAATACGATTCGCTATACGCTTAAGAAAAAAGACTGAGCTGTATCGCGTTATTTCTTCCTCCACGTATTTTTCAGTAATACGCGCGACTCGTGTTAAAAATGTAATGCACCGAACAAGTTTCGCGAAATATCGACAAATTCGTTCAACTCGTCCTGAATCGTAAATTCATTCTCGCCGAATCCTCGACATCGCGGTTATAAAATACTTCTGTAGGAGGGTTTATCGAGCTCAAGGCTAACTGGTATATCTTCGTGAGAACTCGTGCAAGCGTATTACTTTACTCCCACAACGCATCTACGAAAACCTCTTATGTCGCATACAATGACCAAACTAAACTATTTCGATTATTCTATAATAATCGTTTTCACTCGACCTCGTCTAACACCACTCTGCCCTCTAATACAACGAATATATATCATACCAGGGTATATGACTCGATGACTTCGATTAAAAAGATTTGCCATTTCTTTGGCTGAACAAATCGATATATCTTGCAAAGTGCAGAGTCAACTGACCCTTTTCGCTTAAAATTTATAACTTACGCGTTCCACGCGTCTATCTTATTACGATATACAAACTCCCACGTTTAAATGCGTATCGATAACGAAGATGTAACCGTTTAAAACTAACTTGTCAATCGAGATTATAAACCGATCGATTAAGATAAATTAGTTGAACGTTGGTACGGATAATATCGTACGTCGATGCGGATCAAATTTAAGGACAAAAATACGATTCACATATTTGCGCAAAATTTAAAAGACCATAAAAAGCGATACGCGTAATTTTCACGTAATATTTTGTCTTATTCATCGTACAAAAACATCTGATTAACACCTTAGAAAGACACTCTGGAGAGATCCACCATCACCTAAGCCACATGTGTCCTCCGAACCTTCGATTCATCGATAACCGCGAACAACAATTGTTACAATGTCCCAAAACTTAATCGATTTTAGATCGATAAACGAGTCAACGAAAATGAGAGCGTATCAAATTGTTGCAAAACGTTACATCGTATATATCGTGACACGATTACTTTGACAGACGCTCATATATCCATTTCCTAAACCAAGCACGCAACATTTCTATTCTGCATTACTGCTTTACCTATCCCTTTTCTTGTCTCGGTCGCGAACTCTCAGCCCAATCCCTTCTCATCGATCGTCTTTCTTACTACGTCCTGTACAACGTGTACGTAATCACGAAGAGATTAACGTAAAAAAGCAACACGCAACACGAAGATATCATAATGAATGAATAAACATACATACATACATACACACGCGCGCGCGCACACACACGCACATATATATATATATATATGTATGTGTACGTACGTACGTACGTATGCGAGTGTGTGAGTGTGTGAGTGTGTACGAATGCATGTGTGTGCATAGACTACTTTTCCTTCGTTACACACACACGCACAGAATATGAAAGAAGCGAGGAGTTTCGTGTTTCCATTGGTGATACGATGGAGAGAGCGTAATCCACTCGGTTGACGTTTTTCTTGCAGAGGAGAGAGAGGTCGCGCAATATCGCGTTGCGAGGCCAACGATAAAGACTAGCCGCAAACAAAAAGGAAAAGGACGAATAGGGAAGGAAAGTACTATTGAACGTGGGTATTACCAATATATCTTATTATACCGCCGACCGATATATATCGCATCTATGAAACGTATCGAAAGAACGACGATCGCGGCGAATCCTGCGTCAACCTCGTAACGTGGTATCACGATAAAAATAAAAAGGTAGAAAGAAAAAAAAAAGAAAAAAATACTAAGTATTTGGAAATTAACGAGAAGCTACATGCCCTGTTTAAAAAATGAAAAAGCTCCTTCAGAGACCGTGCTACTCTTGAACGTACCGGCTGCCTCGGTTGAACCACGTTATTCGACAGTGAAAAGAAAATATAAGTCCTGTCGCACTTGCGCAATAGGCACTTCTCGTAGTTGAACGCCTACCACCACACAACACATCGTGTATCGTTTCTTAAATATTTTGTAGAAAAAAAAGACTATCCAATTTTTAAATTCGTCTTTCTAAATTCATCGTTAGACTGGCAGTGATTGAAAAAAATCCATATGCACATAGCTCGCCCTATCTAAAAATTTTCAAATATATTCGAAATATATATATATTTATTTCCACATTTGATCCCAAACCGATCAATTTGAACTATGTTCGTCCGTTTTGGTCTTTTCCTGTTTCATTTTTCCTCTTTCGCTTCCTCCTCCTTATCAACGTTCAAGCGTAGGTAAGAAGTTGCACGTTCAGCACGAGTGCCTATTGTTACAGCGGGCAGGAACTAATAAAAAATGATGTGGATGAGCCTACCTTGAGAGTCGCGGTGGGCCTGGGCGGCCTCCTGGGCTGCAAGAAAGACTTCGTCTGTCGTTCCTGGAGCTCCTGCCACCGAGCCCACAACTCCTCCCGCATTACTTCGATCGCCGGTAACGTGCCACGCACCTATACCTGCTAACGAAACAGACAACAACCACACTCGTAAAACCTTTCCCCCTTGGTGATCATGGTAAGGCCAAACACATTTTCTATACGCAAAATAAGACAAAATTAAGTACGAAGAAAAACAGTGTAAACACCGTATATAATTGGCATGGCTGTGCGTTTCAAATATATGCATGTGTGTATATGTACACGCGAGCTCGCACATATATACATATACATACATGCATACATATTATATATACATATACACAAACATACGTACATACATACATACATGTATGTATATATGTGTTCGCGTGTGTGTATATTAGGTATATATAAAAATCAATAAAATACTAGGAACGAAGGATAATACTTTATTATTCTCAATCTCTTTCCATTAAAACGAGAACAAAGCAAATTTTTCGGATTTTCAAAGCGTCCGAAATAGTGAAATACAGGGTGGTATCGGTGATATCAGAAATCATACATATTCTCTTATACAGAATAAGTATATTCGGCAGTATCGCGTATATAATAAAGTAACACGGCACATTCCTAACTGAACACCCCGGTTTCCCGTCGTCTTTGCAAGAATAATATTCGGCAAATAACACGAAACATCTTACAATTTTATTAAATGTATCAGCGATCAACGTGCACATTCATACACACATACGAGAACATACGTCAAATTCTTGATATACCTTGAGTATTTTTTTCCCCTAATTAAACGACTATGATAACACTTAGGACAAAGTAATACTGATCGTTTCCAAGCTATTTCACAGTCTGACATTTTGTACACAGTTTATCGTAACTTTATCTCTCACGGTGATGGTGTGATTGAATATAAACTTTAATTACTAAACCGTAACAGAGGTAACACGGCTACAAAATGTATTGAACAATTAACGAGATCTCGATTGATGCTTAGATATTATCGGTACCCTCGATGACGATGACGACGACGACGACGACGACGACGACGACGGCGATATACTCTCTCACGAGGCTCGGCTTTTAAATATTATTTCGAAACGAGGTTATCTCGTGCTTAGGGTATGTCTAAACGTATATTATCCATCGTGAATATAGCATACCTCGATGATAGAGAAAACTAAACACGTGACTGTTTGGATACGATATTTTAACATATCGATATAACCGAGGAATCGAGAATCGAATCGTAGATAAAATCTTAGGCCGCACATTCTTCCGAATGCACGTCATATATAACATCACCACGACATATGAACAAAGGAATCACGGTAATCTATAAATACCGAGCATTTTCTTTCTTTTTTTCTTCACGCGACATAAAATACATATATGCTTCTCACGTACAATATCAGTCGAAAAAGTTTAAGTTTGCGATATGTGTAAAAACGACGTTTCGTACCAATTTCTTCCTTTGAAATAATCCAAAGAAACTGGAACAAAACACGCATAAATATCATCCATGAAGAAACGCAAGAAAATGAAAAATAACTCAATGTGAATTGGTCGTGCATCGTTGTGTTACAGTCAAAATTTTCTATAGAATAGGAAAGAAAGAAAACGTTATACAACCATACACGCGCGACACATACACGCGCACGCGCGCGCGCGCGGGGTAACGAAAAGATGCAAGAAAACAGAGCAGAATAGAATCGAACAAACTGTGTTCTATCGGTCAATGGCATATTATTTTCTTTGCTGCCGAATCTCCATGATGTCGAACATCATTACATAAACTATACACGTAAAAGCATACATCACACTAAGGCTGTCTAGGCTGGATCAGGTTACTAGGTTGTTGTCTCCATCTCCTTCTGACGACGTTCAACTTTTTCAAATAGAATTGCAGAGTCGAGCGATTAATGCCATACATCTCTGATGCCTGAGTGGTGCTAACCCCCTGCTGTAATATTGCGTCCAGGGACATTTTAACCGAGTCTAAACTATACTTTCTGCCCTGTTTCTTTTCCAGCGATTTAAGCAACGCGCCTACGTCAACATCTGGGCGTGGCCGCCTCACGTTCGGCCCTTTTTTACATTCGAGGAAATGGGACGCCCAGAGGGCACCGCCATCACTACCCACCAAATTCCCTCTCGACCGAGACCGCGCTCCCGCCCCCCCACCTGCAACGAGGAAACCCAAGCTAGTGTCGGCCGATTATTACACGATCCGTTTAACATTTAACAAAACAAAAAACGAAACGTTCGTGTAATTAAACTTCAAGTCATCAATCATCGAGTTCCTTCCTTCAATATAATTCAATATTTCAAATTCGATATACCTGCGTTACAGCGATATATAACATTTATCTCCTATCCTTTTATAACTCTTATTTTACTCGAATAGAAAATAGAATGGAATAGAAAAATCTACTTCGATGCAAAGTTTCTTTGAATCGAAGTTTTACTACTGCGATACATACATGCATATCATTTGCACAACACGGTATGATTTCTCGTTTAATTTCGTATGGGAAACTCGCTGTATGTGCGAGAAATATATTTTACATATATACACGCGTCTTAAAGGCAACGATCGAGAATTCGCAACGTATGTGCACAAAATTTGAAATCGACTCGCTTAACGCGAAAATTCATGAAAATACCCTGTATTTCGCTACTACGAAATATAAATAAAATATATATATAGAGAGAGAAAAAAAAAAAAAAGAAAAAAAAAAGAAAGAAAGAAATCAAATAAAATATAAAAAGTATACACGTTCGTTCAACTTACCAGGATGTTGTGAGGGGTCGTGGGACGGACCGGCTCTATTATTATCCTGTTCCATCTCGTTCAAATCGTTCATATCATCATCCAACGTCAGATCTTCGACGCTTTCTTCTGGATCTTCTAAATATTCAGACTTTGGCTCGATCAAATTATCATTTGGTTCTGGCTTTTCCAACGGCAACTATGAAGAAGAAAGCAAAACTATTTTACAACAAGCCTGTAAAAAGCCTTTGATACACTTATTTACATAAAAGTGATCAGAGAAAAAAGAAAATAAATAAAACAGTGAGGGAGTAGTTGTTGTTATCGTGTATCGCACCGTTTCCACTCTATAAGATCAGTTTGATATGGCATCGAATAGCAGGATTATGTGCGATATCATTTGCTCTACCAACGAGCGAAAGAAACAGCATATTACAACAGTTTCCATTAAGAAACGTTGGTAAATGATTAATGTAATTGTACCGATTAAAATTCAACATCGAATTTCGTAAAGCTTACCTGCAACATTTCATCAGCAGGTTTGGTCAGCTGCGTCATTAAAGCTGATCTTCCTCCTATTGTGTCTGTCGAGTCTGCATGTGCTTTTTCATCTGCCACGGGTGCAATTCCAAGCGCAGGAACACCCATTTGTTGGGGCATATCGCTTGAATTCGACGCTTCATGATTTTCAACAGAATTATCATCGCCTATACTTCTTCGTCTAAATCTTTTTCTTTTCCTCGAAGTAGGACTTTGTGAACCTTCCCTGTGAAATTAACGAAAGAAATAATTTTATATTTCGAAAGATAAATTCCAAGATTTATTCGAATATTTCGTATCAAATTTTGCATACAATTTGTCTCGTACACATCCAGTGTATGCTTACCTCGAGGAAAGACCCTTAGGTATTTGAGGACTTCCCGAGTCCTCCGCCAAATCCCCTATGGAACCTTGTTGTGCCATACCCTGCCTAGGAACTTTGTTCTTTTCTATTGTAAGACCGGAAGACGCATGTGGAATGTCGGTTGGTTGTGCCGTTGCTTGCGGAACTACCTTTTGCTGCCTCGAGTCTGTTTTGTTACTCCCACTTGTTTTACTTTCTGATAGACCCTTAATTTGCAAAGACTCAGCAGCTTTAAGAAGTCCTGCCAATTGGTCTTGAGAAATATTAACTTCTCCCCTGTACATGTAGTCCATCATTGCTTTTAATTCTTTAAACTTAACATCTTTTAATATGAAGACAGGATGCTTGTCGTAATGTTCACTCAGGAGCACCTACAACGAAAATATTTCCATTAAAATCCAATGTACCATTACACAACACAAATTTATCTTATCTACTAATATTTATAATAATTAAACCGCGTGGATTTGTAAATTTTTTCATACCAACTTAAATATATCCAACATAAATTATTAAACGCGATAGCTATAGTCATAAATAAGACTATGCTAAAATTAACAAATAATAGTTGTATTCGAATTCTCATAGAAAGTAAACGAATATTTCAAACGAGTATAAGAAATTTAAATATTAGTAACTGATGGAATTCAATTTCCTAAATGAATAATGTCTATTGCTTCTTCGTATACACCCCTCCTCCCACATCAGGGTAAAATCCCAGGGCAAGTGCCCTGGAAATCAGCCATCTTGCTTTCTCTGTATTGATTACCAGGAGGAACCAGGAGGGGGTTTGGGCTTTCAGTCCCCCTGCCTCTCTGGCTTCTGCCCAGGCAACGTTCAACAGGAGCAGCCATCTTGTTTCGATTTAAGGTTCCCCCCTTTTTTGTTTCAATTCCAAAATTCAAATTATAATTCAAACTATGATGAACCAATAGAAACGTTACACATCGATACCAACAAAAACCTAGACTTTGTTGTGTAGCTAGTCCTTTCTTATGTATTCGACCTTCTACGTTATTTATCAACACGCTAACTCTGTCATACTTTGAGTATAGAAAAATTAATAACAAATACAGCTACTTAAATAGCTGGGGGAATGGGGGTCCGAAAAATCTAAATTCAAACCGACGTGGCCTAACCGTGAACAATGAATAAAATATAAATAATAATGGTAATAGTGATAATAGTAATAGCGAATATAACAATAGGAACAACAAAGATGGCGTTAAAACTAAAGTATTACAAGAAATGCACTACTCACCTCAAAAAATGGACTGCACGCAGATAGAACTACTTTATGGGCTTTCAAGTACTTCCCCTCTGTCGCCAGCGTGCAGTCTACAAGCGTCCCGCTTTCAAGAAGCGTGTCAAAGTTTTGGATTAATGTACTCTGATGATTATTCCACCTAAGGCAGAACTGCTGGTCGTCTTCCATTTTTCTGGCTTCGTTCCCTCGTTACTGAACAACCAAGAAAATATTCGTGGTAATGAATAGACCAGCAGACAGATCTGTTTGTCGTTCAAGATGATCGACCGTGCCTAATGCTATCTATCTATGCTACGCCCGGCTAACACGAACATCGAGACCGACAATTTGAAAGTACAGAGCACGTTTAAGAATATTTTCTATTATCTCGACTGATATGTATAACCGCGATAAAAGCTTCGCGAGGAAGCACCAAAGCTTCCAAAATGGCCGTACGATGGAAGCGCGTCGGTCGAATTGGTCTTCTGGCCTTTTCCTTTGTGCGTGTCCTCATAACGGTAATGGACGATTTGGTGGGGATGATGCAGGAGGACGCGCAAGCACTACGCATGTGCAGCTGCGCCCGATCTGCGCGTTTGACTTGCGCACTAGTTCGAGACCCCTGGAATTCAGGGACGTCTGCTGGATATCCAGTACCCCCCAACAACAATATGAAATTTCCGAAAGAAACTTTGCAGGTCAAATCGGTCGGGTCGAAAAACAATGTTCAACCTAACAAATCCCAGATTGGAAAACAAAAGGTAGACGAATGAAAACAAAAATGTAAAAATAAAGAAAAAGGGAAGTAAGAAGTACCGTTTTAGTACAAGGTACAAACACAAGAACAATCCTGTACGCGTCGTCGATTTCAAATATAAAGATGCAACGCTAAAACATTTAACGAGCGAGACACGTTTCTAATTTTCCGATTATTAACTGTCGTGCAATGCATTATGCAAGGTACGAAACACCACTTGAAACTAGAATCACACGTACATTTCGGTGCGATCACTGAAGAATCACGTTAAATTGTACGGCACAGGTAAGGAGAATAATATAATTTACGTCACCGAAGTTTACATCACTGACGCGCAATAAAATGGAAAATCGATTACTCGCTTCACATGCGCAACGCGTAAGTATAGCACTGGAGGGGGCAACGTAATGTAAGTATACGCGTGTAAAGATTAATACGAAATAAAGCGAAGTGCATTCACCACTGGTTACGGACGGTTGCGTAATCTATTTATATTGTTATCTGGTATTGAATATTACGTCAGATGGCGCCGAGCAACGTGTACGAAACGAAAACAAATTGGCGACAGATAATTTTTCCAATCGAATCTGCCAACCGGTGAAAAAGAACGATGCACTTTCCTCACACCGCCCCCAGAAACTAGGAGAGGAGAGGAGACGTGGATCACAATATGGCCGTCTGTGAGGTCGCGCCCGGACAAAATGGCGATAGAAGAAAAAGCTCGGAAGGGAAAGGATGATTTAAAATTTATCTCTGCTACGCGAATTTCCCGTTAAAGCATTGTCTGGACGAGAACATCAAAATCGCAAACATTCGCTTTATTGGGAAATTTTTCTTAAACACTTAACTAAGGAGAAAATGTTTTCCTAGAAGTATACAAGAGGATCCGCCCGCGCCATGTCACCCTACCTTTAAGATTTTCCAGAATTTTCTTGGGTGTTTCGACAGATTCGTGGATATTATAAATGATTGACTACTTGTTATAACACTCACCTAATACGGGATATAAAACAATCTAATATCACAGCAACAGGATGGGTGAAAAGTGAAAAAACTGCGTAAGCGTCCGAGCTTGGCGTGCGCCTCGAGCGCTGCCCTTTTCAACAATGGCGTAGAGCCGAACGCCTACTCGCTTGCCTGTACGCCGACCGTCAGAGAGCGCAGGCTTCCCCGGAAGAGGGAACGAGAGAAGGAAAAACGAAAGAAACCTAATGAGCATGCGCTCTGCTCCCGAAAGCTATGATGATCTTGCCGTGATTGGAAATTACGGATAGAGGACGCTAACCGACAAACGTATATTTCTTTTTTTTTTTTATTTTCGTCTGATAATTACCACAATTATTGCACGTTTAACACAGAATTGACGTTATCATAGGAAAACGATTAGATATAACGATTTCGTTCTGACAGAAATGTCCCTTTTTATTCTATAAAATCGTTGAAAAAGTATTCGAAGCCAACAGTAATATAGAATTATCACAAGTTGAAGCAACCAGCATTACAAATCATAATTTATCGATTCTCATTTTTCATAATTTAATTTATTTAGTTTCTAAAATAATCGTACCTCGTAGCATACGAGAATAAGAAATACGTCGGTATAGACGATCGTGTACGGAAGAGAAAGAAGGCGAGATGAAGAAAACGAGAAACGAACGACTTTTACATTTGAATTGGAATATTTCTCGAATATATCTAATCGACGATAATTCATCGATCGTATGGGAATAAAAGATAACAACGATATGTACGTATATAATTAAAATTCACTGTTATAAAGTGTTTGGTACGTCATTACCGGCCCTGGATCGTAACCTAGCACGCGTACGTAATGGCCGACTTTACAGACTTGGCCAAAGCAAAATGGCGAAAACCGTTGAAAGGGAAAAAAAACTTGGGAAATAAACAAGACTGTATTGTAAGTAACGGAAAATTGATCGAAAGGTTGAGAGAAAGATTGGTTTTATAAGATTTGGAACGGCATAAATTAACGCTTTCACACGAGATCACTCATCTACGTTGAACAAAACCGCATCTTATTCCCCCGTGGGTTTAACAAAGCGACCTGATTTTTCACGAACTTTTCACGACGATAATAACGAACCATACGAAATAGGATATAACGATTACAGGATAAATAAAGAAATGCGTAGAGATTACTCACCTATATTGGCACAATCTAAATATCACAAGAGGAAAACTTGGAAAAAACTACACGTCTCGTCCTCAGGGCACACTAACCGAGCGCCGACGCTTCTTTTTACACAATGGCCGTACTTGTACGCGTTAACGATCGACCCGCTCTGCGAGGGGATAACCGGGATGCTCGGAAACAGTGTGCTTCTTGTGGGGAGACGCGGCGCAGAAAATTAAACTTGACGTTGTGCGCATCAAGATACGAATAGTGGGGCAAAGAGAACGGTCGGTTAAGACAGGAGCGTCGAAAGACTTTTAGAACCTAGCGACTACTTTCGCGTTCTATAGAAGAACGATGAATAGAAGCGAGAAAATATTATCGATGGAAAGGTGACTCGTAATGGTTGATTTCTTTTTACTGGAGATAGATGATGAATCTGTAGATAGGTATATTCTCGATGAGGAAATTTCGGTGTGAATATCGTTATAAAGGGAATAGAGGGGAAAGCAATTTGTGTGGTTATATAGCGTGGAATTTAAAATCGTGCCTGTAGAAATTGTTTTCATTGCTGGAAAACGAGATACGCGGTACAGTTTGGCGCAATATTGAACTTTTCCGAATGGAAGTATGATTGGAGAATAATTTGCGTGGTATAAGGTGGAATAAGGGGTGGAAGAAAGTGGAATAAGGGGTGGAAGAAGGTGGAAGAAGGTGGAAGAAGGTGGAAGAAGGTGGAAGAAGGTGGAAGAAGGTGGAAAAAGGTGGAAGAAGGTGGAAGAAGGTGGAATAAGGTGGAAGGAGATGGAATAAAGAAATTGAGAAGCCGTAGAGAAGAAAGTTGATACAATCCTGATTTTTGCCGGTTCAACATTATGGCAATTCGCGGTGGTGGAAGGGGTTCGCGTAGACATAGTGGGGAGGAAGGCAGATTTCCGTTCAGGGGCGCGTTTACGGCGTAGCGCAGCCGGCGGGAGAGGCGAAAGGCGGCGCGGGAGAAGTGGAAAGCCGGGAAGAGAGAGCCGACGAAGGGAAGAATCGGGGTCCACAACAAAATCGCTTAATCGCTTTGCGCCACCGTCCGCAACGGAACACGGGTCGTCCGCCGCCATCACGGTGCCCCCTAGTGTGCATTTATGTCTTTCTCTTTTTCCGTCTCTCTCCGTGATTCGCTACGCCACTTCGTGCCGCGACGTTTTCACGGGCAAACCGAGAGTGACAACTGGCAGTCGTCAGCGCGGTACGTGCTTTACGCGACGACTGACAATTGTCCGTGTGTCATCGCGTGAACACGCGTTTTGTGGAAATACTTCGTAAGACGTGTTTCTCCGGATAGTCGTGTATACCAAGTGTCATAACTATAGCAAAAGTGAGTGTCTTCTGCGATCCTTGGCACGGAGTTGCCAAACATCAGCCAAAGTTTAGCTCCAGTGGTGATTTTGTTCGTGGGCCAGGTCATGGTAAGGTAAGTGTAACGATACATTTACACTATGATGGTTTGGTTGGTTGGAAAGAAGGAGGGCCGTGTAGGTTACATCTGGTGATTGTTGGAAATACTCATTGATTCCGATCGAATGTAGGATTAAAGATAGAAGAATAATAAGATAGAAGAATGCGCGGTTAGACTGGCGGTTATCTTGAGATGTTTAGAATGAAACGGTGTATAGACGGGATGACAATGCGAGTGGAAAAGTTGATTCGTATCGGATCTGTCAATGGATCTCCAAAGGAGGATGGTAAATTAAAGATTGGGTAGGAATATTGCGGTGTTAGAAAGGATCTATTAGAAAGGAGATTCGGTATCAGGTTTACGCGTGCTCGCGCGTATTGTTTTGACTTTCGACCACTTGGACTATAGTTGCGCACAGCTGGTCAGTTGGCGTGTGCGTACTTGCATAGAGACATACGTGACACAATGATCCACGGCGTTTAACGACCTGTCGCATTCGGAAAGACGAATTAAACGTCCCTCCACGCGCGCCTCGTGGCTTCTCTCCATGAGGATTTGGAACAGTTGCCGCGTGCACGTTCGAATCGCTGTCGCCGATTACGGTAGGTCACGTGTACGATAACTGTCCAATAATCAACGATTACGTATGCGCAGGAAACACTTATTTAATGTTTGCGCGTTCGGTATAGCTATGCGCGAAGGAAAAGACAAGCAGTGTCTGGTGTTGGGGCAAAATTACTGGTAAAATGCAAATTATACAACGATTACGCAAAACTTTGCACAAACTCCGTTTCCGTTTCCATTCCCGTTTCGTCGTTTTCTTTCCTTCGTTTTATCTTTCACGGACAGAAACTTTTCTACGATTACCGGCGTAAATATCTTTGTACTATTTATCGCCGCGCACTGGTCATCGATCTATCCTCCTTTCTAAAACGTATACGCGATATATACGATATATCGCGCGTATATACGTCAAACGTCGAGTACTACTCTATCGCGAACGGGTGGGGTGTGGGGCGGTGGGGGGAAGGGGCACGTGCGTTTAGTTGGAATCGCGGTGAATTGGAAACTAGGAAAACTAACGCGAAATATGTTTCGACAAAGATTATTATGTTTCGGCAGCGATTTCGTAAAAACTGGGTAACGCGCGTATTCGTTGGTTAGAGATATAGAGCGGCGAGTCGATAAATTTGAAGATTTTTCCGCCGAATTTGATTCTTTTCTTAGGAAAGATGGACGATCGGTATAAAAGCAAAGGTAGATAAAAAGTATGGAGAAGCGTAGGCGCGATGCTTAATCGTAGACGTTAATCGCGTACGAGTAGAAATAATTTCGAAAATTATCGATAAAACGATCGCGAGAGTCGTTAATAAGTACGCACTATGTGCACCTGAGATTTTCTCCGCGATCGTGTGGCAAGCAACGGTTTACCCATACATTGTACCCGCGGTGCCGATGATAAAGAGAAATGCTGCCTAGAAAGCAGGTCTTGACTGAATCTAGGCCACCCTGATGGCGCGTACACATTCTCCACAATTTTACTGTTCCTTCTCTCGGCCTTGCCGCGTTCGTATCTGCCGGGAGAACCGCATATATGCTTCTCCTCTCTGTTCTCGTCTCTCCTCGTCTATTTCTTCCTCTCTTCATCGCCTTTCTATCCCTTCTCTTCCATTAATCCCCCTCTCTCTTTTATATATGTGCGCGCGCGCGCGCGCAAGTACACGTAAAATCTCTCTCTCTCTCTCCCCCGTGCCTCTTTCTCTATACGTGTGCGTGCGTGCGTGCGTGCGCGCGCGCCTATTTTTCCTTAAAAAGATTCAAGGTGCGAATTCGAGCGCAACTAGCGGAAAACGTAATTGAAAATTTGTAAACTTGCAACACGTGTTTGAAAACAACAGCTACGCAAGGTGTATATAGATGTACACGCGTATAGATTAACGCGAAGCAAGTACTTGGACAAAGGGCAAAAGAGAGAGAAAAGAGGCGTATAAGAAGTATAATTCCAGCTTGCACTATCTCTAAAAGAAAACTACGATGAGATCGACTATTTTCTCAAGAGCCCGAAGCGGAATCGCGTGTATATGACTGACAGTGGGGCGATCGAGAGCGACCTAGAAAGGTTTCAAAAGACATTTTCCCGTTCACCCACGTATAAAGCTGCCCTCTCACCGCAAAAGCATAGAGCCACATAACGTGAAACCTCGTACAATAATCGAGATGGTAAAAGAGAGAGCGAGAGAGGAAACGGAGAGACGTACGTGGAAAAAGTTGCGTACAAGTGGTAAGAACATAGGGGCAGAGGCAGAGACAGAGACGGATATAGATAGAAGCCGATATAGATGGAGACGGAAAGAAGGAAAGAAAGGTGATGAAGGTAAAGAAAGAGGAGAAAAAAGAGAGAACTTGGGTGAAGGTATACGTATATACGTTTCTCCGGATGAAGAATACGGCACGTATATACATACAGGCGAACGCGCACTCGCATACGTCGCGTGCAGTTTTGTACGCGCGCGCATAGGAACAACGGAAAGTACGGAGCATAATACGGAGAAAACGCTGGTAAAAGGAAAGAGGCCCCTCTGCCTGCCTTTCCAATCGAATCGAACGCCCCTCTCGCCTTTGTCATTTTCTCTTTGTCCTCGTTTTGGGCTTGCCGTTCTCTCGGAGAGCTCTCTCCCCTTTTTCTCTCTTTTTCCTTCGATCCCTCTTTTTCTTTCCAGCCTGTCGCCCCTTTACTCTTTCTCGGTTTCTCTATCTTCTACGATACTCTCGTAGCCCGGTTCACGTGGAACGACCAAAGCGCTTGGCCATTCTTTTCGTCGGATTTCTTCCTCTCGTTTTCCTTTCTTCTTCTTCTTCTTCTTCTTCTCTCACCACCGCCACCACCGCCACCACCGCCACCACCACCACTGCTACTTCCTCCTCCACTTCTTTCTCCTCTATCTTCTCCTCTACCTTCTCCTCTACCTCCCGCTCTGCCACCTTCTCCTTCGTCTCCTCGTCCACCTTCTCCTCTTCCTCCTCCATCTTCTCCTCGTCCCACTCTGCCTCTCCATCCAGTCTCCCCCCCCCTCCGTTTCCCTTTCTCTCGATGCTCCCACTGCCTTCCCTCTCCCGCCTTATCCTATACCTTCTCTATCTCTTTTTCTTCCTTCTCTTCTTTCTAATTCTCTTCTTTCTTCTACTCCTCCTCCATATCCTCGTTCTTTCTATTCTTCACGTTCGCTTCACGCATCCCTTCCACGTAAACCGTATTAAGCGTCTTTATCACGCCGAAAAAGAGAGCAACAACGGAAAAGGAGACGAACGTAGACGGAAAGAGACGACGAGACGAGAAATTTCTCTCGCTTCGCGCAGCTTTATCCAGTTTCTCTCTTCACCCTCTCGCTTCCCACGTAGCACGTAGCATCCTGTCTACCGCTAACCTCTCTTTTCTTTCTTTCCTACATTTCCAACTGCTTCTACCCACCTTTTCCTTTTCCTCTCCGCTTCCTTTCCCTGCTCCCCTTCCTCGATAACCTTCTTCGTTACCTCCACCTTCACCTCCTTCTCCTTTTCTTCCTCCTTCTCCTCCCCCCTCTCTTCCTCCTCCGCCACCTCCTCCTGCTTTTCCTCCTCTACCTCCTCCTCTTTTTTTTATTGGCTAGAGAGGAGGATAGGACGAACGGAACGGGACGGGACGGGACGGGACGGGAAGAGAGGAGGACGCGCGGAAACCGGGGGAGAGAGAGCGAGAGAGAGAGAGAGAGAGAGAGAGGGAGGGAGGGAGAGAGAATGTAATCGAATATCCTAGAATTTAATTCTATCGGTTCGTCCCGCGCGTTCGACTTTCATATCGCGCTTTTTTGCGACAGTCATTAAATCTAATTTATCGCGACGCCCGTGTCGCGTTTCAGGGATGTGTGTACC